ATGGTATTTGTATAAGAAGGAACCCTAATAGCAATCTTGGTAATTATTCATTATTAGGGGTTTCGGTTCCAAAGACTATCCTCTTGAATGTGGTGTCTCGGATTAGAAGCTTTGCTTTCTGTATGGCATAGAATCCTAAACCCTAAACCCTAAGTTTTTGAGCTCTGGCTTCTCGTTGCCTTTAGGCTCGGCTAAACCTCAAGTTTCCAGTTCGCTGAAGCCAGAATGGGCCCCTAAAAGGGTTTAAGGTTCAGAAAAACCACCAAGGGATTCATAGTATCAGGGTACAGGGCCCCTACTTTTAAGGGTCATTGATCCTTGTAAGGTGTAGGTGTTTTTTTATGGAGTACCTGACTTATCTCTGATAGGAGCTTGCAGGTTTCGGGACCACCTAAGCCTTGAAAAGTCCAAAGGGTCCAAAGTACCTAAATAGTAGAGTGCAGGGTTTGCAGATTTAAGGAATCCTGCTTTTGATTTGGAAAGTATCCCCCTAAACCCTAAACCCTAAAACCCATAACAGCCCCTAGGACCCTTTGAAAACTTCAACCCGGTTCTTAGTTGGCGCTTGCCGGACGTTCCGGTGAAGCTTGGGCTGCTTAGCGTTGAGGGGTTTGGGGCTTAATGGGTTTAGGGGTTTAGGGCTCATAGGGTTTGTAGGGTTTAGGGTTTAATGGGTTTAGGAGTTTAAGGATTTATAGGGTTTAGGGGTTTGGGGTTTAGGGTTAAGGGTTTAGGGTTCACACTTCTTACAGGGTTTAGGGGTTAAAATTGGGTTTAAAGGGGGTTATTTAGGGGTTTAAGGGTTTATAGGGTTGAGGGGTTTGGGGTTTAGGGTTTATAGGGTTTAGGGCTTAATGGGTTGAGGGGTTTAAGGATTTATAGGGTTTAGGGTTTTGGGGTTTTGGGTTTATAGGGCTTAGAGGTTTGGGGTTTTGGGGTTTAGGGGTTTAGGGTTTATAGGGTTTAGGGGTTCGGCTTGGTGCTGTGGGTGGAGGGTTTGGGGTTTGGGGCATTCGTGCTGCGCACGGCTGCCCTAGTATTGCGGAGCCCCCTTTCAATCCCTGCTACGAGCGGCATAAAGCTTTGCTAGAATGGTTTTAGGGTAACCGGCTGCACAACCCTATCCCCGACAAATCTTGCAGGCAGCACAAACTCGACTCTCCTTTCTCCTGTCTCTGTACAGAACCCAAAACCATAAACCCTGAATCCCTTGTGAAGCACATCGCAAACAGTTTGGCTGCCGCCCAGTCCACCCACTTGGCCAAGAACATCTTGGCACGCCTCAGGGACCGAGCCACGAACGTGAGTGACGAGGTGCGCTGTCGGGTCTCGGAAAACTGCTACATACCTCCTTGTTTTTGCCAAGTAGTGAAGTCAGCAGGCTCTAAGTATGGTTTTACTTCCTTACACAGTGTCGTAACACCAGGGAGTTCTTACTTACGCTCAGTATATAACTGGATTTGGCAAATGAAGGTGATTCCACGGCTCTCGCCGTGGCCCGGTTACCATTCACCGGGGAGATTATGCCCCAAACCCAAGAATCCAGAAAGTAAGTCGTGGACATTATTGTTGCGTACTATTATTGGTATTGATACTAGTGCTATGTTTCATAATTGTTGTATTTGCATCAATGATAATATTGTTGCGACGTTTTCGTTTCTTCATTTTACAAACCCGGAACCTTGACCCAAAACTCAATCTTCAGTCTGATAATCCTCAGCCTTGAGCTTTGGCTAAGCTTTCATGAAGGAGTGCCCACATACGAGAGAAGGTATAGTGCATACCGTACTTGGTTCAGGATCTGGGGATCCCCTCACTGCAACCATAAACACTAAAGCCTCAGCCCTAAACCCTAACCCCCCAGGTACCTACTGTATAGGGCACTAGGGGCTCTAGTACCCTATATAGTAGGTACCTGGGAGGTTAGGGAAACACAGAGGTTGCCGTGAAGACTGCAATTGCCGCCGGCTTCAAGCAGACCGAGCACAACTTCCTTCAGCCGCTAGCACTGCTATGGTGTACAATGTGGGTAGTTCTCTAAATTAGGGTCACTTTTTAGGTCCCCAATATAGTACGGCACCCTTATAAAAGGACCCCCAAAAGGGACCCTAATTTAGAAAACTACCCATGTACCTGAAACTACCAAAATTACCGGTAGGTAGGCTCGCGTTAAGGCCGCTTACAAACCATAAAATTGACTCTGAAACAGAGCTTGTTGCGCCTCTACAAAGCCCTAAGGCGTCCATGTGCTCAAGCAGTATATACATTGACCTTGCAGTAGTTCACTAGTCCTTATGCAGGTACTTTGGGCTAAAGCACATACTCTTTGGGTCCGTGGACCCTTAAACCCTAAACCTTTTACCGCATTCAGGCTTTAGTTTTAGGGTTTAGGTTTAGGGGGTTTTGGCATTTAGGGCTCAGGGTGTAAGGTTGAGCGTTTAGGATTTAGGGATTTTGGCATGTAGGGCCTAGGGTTTAAGGTTTTGGGTTTTAAATTTGGGGAGTTTCTTCGCATTTAGGGCTTAGGGTTCAAGGTTTAGGCTTAAGGGGTTTGGGCCTTTAGGGCTTAGGCTTTAGGTTTTAGGGTTTAGGAATTGTGGGGTTTGGGCATTTAGGGCTTTGGGTTTAATTAAGGTTTAGCATTTAGGGTTTAGGGATTTTGGCATTTAGTTCTTAGGGTTTAAAGTTTAGCATTTAGGGTTTAGGGATTTTGGCATTTAGGGCTTAGGGTTTAAGGTTTAGCGTTTGGGGTTTAGGGATTTTGGCGTTTAGGGCTTAGGGTTTAAGGTTTAGCGTTTAGGGTTTAGGGATTTTGGCATTTAGGGCTTGGGGTTTAAGGTTTAGCGTTTAGAGTTTAGGGATTTTGGCATTGAGGGCTTAGGGTTTAAGGTTTTGGGTTTGAAAGTTACGGGGTTTTCGCATTCCCGTGGGTTTAAGGTTTAGTGCTTAGAGGTTTTGGCATTTAGGGCTTAGGCTTTAGGTTTTAGGGTTTAGGGTTTAGGGGGTTTTGGGATTCAGGGCTTTGGGTTTAAGGTTTTGGGTTTAGGGTTTAAGGGTTTTTTGGCATTTAGGGTTTAGGGTGTACTTTCTTGGGGCCTAGCCATAAGAAGCTATCCAAGTCGAGCAGAGGGTGTGGCTGGATTCTGCAGGAAGCAGGCAGACGCCAGCGCTGGACTCGCCTGGCTGGTGATCTACGCTCGACGCACAGGGTCGGGCATGTTTTGGGATCTAGAGTTTAGGGTTTAGGGTGTAGGGTTTAGGGTGTAGGGTTTAGGGTTTAAGGTTTAGGGTTTAGGATTTAGGGTTTAGGACACTACCGGCAAGAAGCGGGAGCATATCAACTGCTGCCTTTGTTTTGGCTTGATGGTTCGCCGCAACTCCGACGACAATGACAAGATTTCAGTGGAGAGCAGTCCGTATGTAGTCCGCAGCCCTACTGAATGGGAAGGGCTCCGTGACTCCATTGATGCAGCTTGGAGAGATGATGCAGATGCAGTTGTGCTTGCTTCCCCTTCTGGCACCATGGCGGTGGTGACGGCAACGACTCTGTCTCCAGGCCCAGAGGGCCATGGATGCGGCCATTATTCTGCAGCACCACAGGATCATGCCGCATCCACGATCGACCACCCTAAACCCTAAACCTCTGAACCCTCAACTCTTTGAAGCTCACAGCTTGATTGCCGGGCGCCCTTTGCCAGGAACCCATCTCTTAAACGGCGAGCCCTAAGACCCCAGACCCCGACTCCTAACAGGGTTTAGAGTTTAGGTCCTACACGAGAAGCTCAAGACAATCCTCATTGTCTCAACTACTATCGGGCTCTTCGGACCCTGAAAACCCTAGAGAACGAACGCTGAGAAACCATGCTGGAGTCCTTATAGAACCCTTAAAGCCCTAAACCCTTAACCATGAACCCTAACCCAAGGCATGCCAAGAAGACTGACGACAGCTCAGGCAGCACTGCCGGAGCCCTGAACATGTTGGACTCTTCGTGGCTTTGGGTTTAAGGGTTTGGTTCTTGGCAGGGCTTGAGGGTTAGAATCTATTTTAGGGTTTAGGGTTTAGGGTTTAGGGTTTAGGGTTTAGGGTTCTAAGTAAGTTGCCTCTCCTGGCCAAGTGCTGGCCCAGTCAGCCGTACACGTACCTCCGAGGGACGGCAGAACGCATGGCCATCCCAACTACCTAGCTAGATAGCTTAGGTGTAGTTGGGGATCATCTTGTGACTTTCCTTGTTTAAGCCCTAAACCCTGAGCCACAATCCCTATAAACCCTAAACCCGAAACCCTAAACCCTAAACCCTGAACCATAAGCCCTATAAACCCTGAACCTGAAACCCTAAACCCTAAACCCTAAACCCTAAACCCTAAACCCTAAACCCTAAAACCCTAAACCCTAAGCCCTAAACACTAGCCCTCTCTGCTTGATCGCTTTGGTTCAGGGGGCCTGTCCCACACACCGAAGCCGGGTCGAAATCTTGGACCATAGAGCTGACTCTTTAGGGTTTAGGAATTTAGGGTTTAGGGTTTAGGGTTTTAGGGTTTAGGGTTTAGGGTTTCAGGGTTTAGGGTTTAGGGTTTTAGGGTTTAGGGTTTAGGGTTTTAAGGTTTAGGGCTTTAGAGTTTAGGGTTTAGGGTGCACTGCCTGAAGTATGTAAATGCACTCACTGCATTTTGCTACGACTCTGCTTTTCGTTTAGTAAGGGTTGATCTGAGGCGAATGGACGGAAGCCATCAGCATTTAACCCTAAACCCTCATCCCTACACCCGAAACCCCAGAACTATCTGCAAGCCTACTCCCTTCAAGTAACCCGAAAAGGAGGCCTAATCCGTTTGAGCGAGGCCTGCACCCTTCTGGAACCTTCTACAGTCCCTTGTAAGTATCCATGGGTAACTCATGGTACCCCGTAGAGGCCTTATAGAAGGTCTATATACCTTAAAGAAGCCTTATAGAAGCCCTATATACCCTAAACTCCTCACCTGTAGCTTCCTTTGACTAGAACGAGGCTTGCACCATGACTGTCTTCGGTCCTGACGAGCAGATGCGGCTGCGGCTCTTCATGGCCAACTGCCCGGGTGACCCAGAGTGCCCAGGGACTCCAATATCCCTTAATTAAGGAATATACCTTAAATCATATTAGGAATCCTACTATAATTTAAGGTATATTCCTTAATTATGGGGTATTGGAGTCTCTGAGTGTTTCGGGATTCTAGCGACTCCCTGGTGGCCCAAAGTATCAAAGTACCTAAAAGGCGACTCCTTGCTGGTCCAAAGTATCAAGGTACCGAAAAGCTAGGTCCTTGGGTTCAGGATATACAGTAATGTGTAATGTAGATGTAGTACTTTGGAGGTAAGCCCTAAACCCCAAACCCTTAAAGACTGGGCAGAAGGAGGCCCAGGGCGCAGGTAAACCCAGAACCCAGTGCCGCAGCCGAAGCTGTTGGGTTCGGGTCAGAGGGCTGGTTTAAGGTTTAGGATTTAGGATTTAGGGTTTAGGGTTTAGGGTTCAAGGTTTAGGGTCTAAAAGGGTTTAAGGTTTAGGATTTCAGGTTTAGGGTTTGGGGTTTAAGGTTTAGGGTTTGGGGTTATCAAAGGTGCCAAACAAAATGGTGCCGTATTTAGAGTAGACTTATACAGGGTTTCCCCCAACAGGGACCATGAGTTTGCCGGCTACCCATGTACAAAGATGGCACATGCCGAAACTTTGGAATTAGTTGAGGTGGATGGGGCTCTCTGGCAATATTTAGGGCCTGTCATACTCTGATATGCACCCAAACCCTGTGCCAATTGCAAAGGCCCCTAATCCCCAAACCCTAAACCCTTTGTTTAAAACGAAGGCATGGTGCTGCTGGAAGTCCAACCCTAAACCCTAAACCCTAAACCCTAAACCCTAAACCCTAAAATCCCACTTTTTATCTGGCCCCGAATCCTGCGACCCCAATCAGCAGCTTGCTTAGGGTCGGGGCTTAAGAAGCAGAGCTCTTAGCTTTTGAGGGTTTAGGGTTTAGGGTTTAGGGTTTCGGGTTTAGGGACTAGGGACTTAGGGTTTAGGGGTTTAGGGTTTAGAGTTTAGGGTTTAGGGTTTAGGGTTTAGCCTTTTGGTGGGGTTTAGCCTTTTGACCTTCGGACCTCCACCGGCAGTGATAAGCCCTAAAACCCTAAACCCCCTACCCCAAAACTCGAACCCGAAACCCCAAACCCTAAACCTAAACCCGACCGACCCCTAAATACCCTGAAACCCTTCACCCCTAAACCCTAAACTCCAAAACCCTTAACCCCTAAATTCCCAAACCCTAAAACCCCAAACCCTAAACCTTTAAAGCCCCAAACCCTACATAAACACTATAAGGGCCACGGCAGATTTCGCCGCCTTTGCTGAGGCGGGGATTCACGTGCGGTGCTGTGAGCTGGCCTCAGACAACCCCGCGGCCTGCGAAATCCTTCCCTAAGGCTCCATGTACCCTAGGGTTTAGGGTTTAGGGTTTAGGGTTTAGGGTATAGAGTAAAACCCTAAACCCTACCTATAGTCTCCATTGTAGTTCCTTTTTGGGGGTTTACTTTATAGTATCCTAAATATGAAATTTGTTAAACCAACATAAGGAATTACAATGGATACTATAGGTAAACTCAATACCCTAAAGGGCCTATATAGGAACCCCTTTAAGGCCTAAGCATATGCTATGTGGGTACATGGACCCTACTTATAGGCTGGATAGTAGTTCCTTTCTTGTGCTCTATATTTAGGATCCGACAAGGTAACCCCAAAAAGGAACTACTATGGAGCCTACGGGTAAGCCCTAAAAAATCCTTATCCCTTAAGGACCACAAATGACCCTGAAAAGTAGGGGCACTATGCCCTGATACTATGAATCCATGTATGGGGGTTTCCGAAAATGGGGGACCCTAATATAGCACCCTAAATAGTAGGATCCTTATTATCAAGAGCCCAAAATAAGGTACCCCCTATTTTCGGAAACTCCCATATGAACCTTAAACCCTTTCAGGGTTCATTTCGTCTTTAAGGTAAGCTCTTCACACACCCTCAGCCCTAAGCCGCACAGGTTACCAGAGGGGTTTAGATAATAGAAATTATACGACTGTTGAACAATGGGAAGGGATCGGTTGTAGGATTATAGGGTTTGTAGGAAAAGTATTGAAATGTAGGGTGTAGGGTTTAGGGTTCAGGGTTTAGGGTTTAGGGTTTAGAATGCCCCACGTAGACCCCAAACTGAGCCCTGGAGCCCCGACACTTCATCTTTAGCCCCAGAGCCACGGTGCCAAACCCCAGACCGTACACCCCAAACCCTAAACACCCCAAGCCCTAAACCCTAAACCCCCAAAACCCTAAACCCCCAAAACCCTAAACCCCCAAAACCCTAAACCCTAAACCCTGGGGTCTGGGATGTGTGAGCATCTCCGGGTATCGGCCCTCCG